CATTTGCACATATGACTTGTTGCTTGATGGTGTTGGCATTTATTTTTTCCCTCGTCTCATTTGAAATCAGATCATTAATAGGTTTCTTTGTTCTTGTTGGTTTTATTATGTTTTTGCAGTTCTTTTGTTTACTTTTTTGGGTTGTCATGGTAGTTTATTCACAATCGAAAAATCATTATATGTTAAGCTGATATGGCTTCGGCTAGGTGATCATATCATGCCATAAAATACTTTGATATGTATAGAGAGATCGCCTAGATATACAGATAAGAGACATTCCACTGATTTTTAGTTTTCCCGTTAATGTGGATCTGGCTGCCATCCATCCAACCCTCAGACATATGATCTGGTATTATGTTTCTTTTTATCTTAAAAGCATATGGGATAATTGGAATACTGTGTTCTTCTGGAGTTTTTGTCTTCCTTTTGGTATCCTCAGGTGTATCTGTGGTGGAGGGTTCCGCTGTTTGTGTGTTTCTACAAGACACAGGCGTACTGAAAACTCAAAACACAATTGACTAAATTTGTAGAAAATTGACCATTGGCTTTTTAGGAATTGAAAAGTGAGGGAGTCAAGGCCAAATAGACCTAATCAGTTTACTCAGAATCAGTGGCCAAGTAGATAAAAATGAGTCATTTGCATAAAGGAAATAACCATAGAAAGTTTGTACAACATTGTTAGCTAGCTGGGTTGGAACTTGGTTCTAGAGGTAGAGGTAGAGGTGGCAATCTTAACTCATTATTTATTAATTCATTCAACCTGTTCATAAATAAATGGGTTGGGTAATATAATTCATTATAATTATGCGGGTTAATATGGATTACAAATGAGTTCTTATTGGATTAAGTATTTATCTTTTTATTAAATAACACCAGTAATAAAATTAAATAAATATACCAATATATCAAAAAGTATACACACTATCACATCAAAAAATACACACACATATATTAATACACATATTAGTACACCAAAAACACACACCAATACAAGACCCATGACCCATGGGTTGACACATAACTCATGGGTCGACCCACAGTCCATAGAATAACTCATAGCCCACAATTGAACTTGACCCATTATGTGTGTATTTTTTTTATTAAATATGTTTTAGTTTTTGTGTTAGTATATGTGTGTTTATTTTTAGTGTATTAGTGTGTTTATGTATGTTTGTATTTTGGTGTACTACTAATGTGTGTGTGTGTGTATTTTTTAGTGTACTAATGTATCTATTAAGAATTTTAATTATTTTATGGGTTAATCAGTTTAACCCAATCCGTTATAAATTCAACTCATTATAACCCATTTATTATGTGAGTGAAAATATATTTGATTTATTTTAATCCAATCCAATTTAACCTAACCCATAACTAACTCAACCCACCAATTTGGTACTCCTAAATCTTCACATTTGAATTTTTTATTCTATACTCTATATCATACAGTCTATATGAAATTATATTAAACTTGATTATTCAATATAGATCTCTAAAGTAATATTCATATTGGTATTGGTTTCAAGTTTATTTTATTTTGCTGTACATGTTTTGTATAAATTGTAACTTAATTTATTATTTTTTTCAAAGGGAAATTCAATATTTTAGTGTAGGTTTATCTATTATTTTTTTTTTTTTACATTCAAACAAGATATTTTTGTGTATTTTAAGGTTAATTGTACTAGAGGTCCTAAAGTATGAGATTTGTCTCAATTTTGTCTTTAATATTTTAATTATATCATTTTAATTCCTAAAATATTAAATATATTTTTACGTGATCTCTCAAGCAAACAACGTTTTAAATTATTAATAATTTTTTATTATAAATTTGTTACGTGATACTTAAAAATGGACAAAAAATATTTGGATAACTCTTTGACCATTTAGCAAAAACTAAAATAAAAACTCTATAGTTATATCACACCTGCTTTAGTTTGCCCCATGACCTCCACATTCAGTCACCTTAGAATTCAACCATAGAACTGGTATCTTGGATGGTCGCAGTATGGCATAAGTGCTACTAAGGGAACACACATAAAGAATTAGGCCCGGCAATTCTCAACGCAACTCATGAAACCGACATGAATTTGATATGGATTTAACGGATTTGGGTGCAGTTTTAACGGATTCAGGTGATTAACAGGTTAACTCGGCAGACCCGTGAAATAAATGAATCGGTTTTGTGTTTAACCCATAAATTCGTTTCAACCCGTTTAACAAATTAACAGTTATACTATAAAGTTTTTTCAAAAAAAGTTAGGTCTCTCAGTCTCTACCTTATCTCACATCTCTCATTTTTCAGACTCATTCAAATTTAGTAGTTATTTAATGTTTATTTTTTGTCTTTATTTTTTTGCTTAGACATGATTTATTGTTATAGTAAACAGGTTAAATTTGTATAATGTGTAACAAGTTGATGATTTTTCGTGTGTACTCAAAATACTCTAACATATTCTCTTATTTAGTGAGTGACACAAGAGTTATATCGGATAACCCGTCTAATAAATGATTCGTGTATGGGTATAACAGTTGAACTCGTTTATATAAACGAATGAGATATGGATTGAGGGTTTTTTTGAAACAAACTCGATCCACCTGACACGAAACCATTCCATTCGACACGATTGCCAGAATTATAGAATATTACTCTCGAGCGCTCTACGCGATATATAAAATTTATTTTTCTGGTATCACCTTATTTCTTGCTTTTCTAATCCTCATATTATTAAAAAATAATAAATTAAAATTATATTTGTTAAATGTGAAAAAGTGAAAAAATATGAGTGAAAATTTAAAATTTAAAAAAATTTAAAAAGATAATAAGAGTAGTTACAAAAGATAAAAGGACTAGTTAAATAAGCCAAATTGTATAATTTGATTTGTTGTTGTTAATTAAATGTTTTAAAAATATAGAAAGTAAGCATTTAATTTCTCTTTATATCTTATTTATTTTTTAATGAAATGTTGTTTTTTGTATTTTTGCTTTTTATTTTTCTTTATTCGGATATGTACACCTAAATATATTATTTATGAATTAATTTTTTCTTTTAAATATATGCTCAAATATTTATTATTAGTCATTGACATTGCAAACATTTCTTTCTTGCTTTACTGCATTGCAACGGTGCCCCTGATTTTTATTTTTTTTGGTATTTTGGAATGAAAACTAGTCTTACTTAGACTTGAGGTCGGAGGCTACATGCTCTCTCTCTCTCTCTCTCCAAAGAGAACAAAGTATACAACTATTCCAAGAAAAAAAAGGAGCTCAAATTCCCTCCCACCAAATTACCTTAAAAAATGGAAAAAAAAAAAAAATTCCAAATATGGCAGAGAGATTGGAAGCCATCGCCAATATCACCAGAGAAACGAGCATACTGGATAATGCAAGATTTGCCATACAACTGTCACAGAATGCTCAGATAGTACAGGAAGATACAACCAACTCAAAGATTGATATAAATTTAGTCATTAGTTATTAACAGAGTGAATATAAAATAATTAATTATTATCTGAAGGTACAAATGTAATAAAAAATAAAAAATAAAAAATAATAAACATATTTATATTTATATCTAAAATCAAATCACAAATATAGAAAAAAGATAAAAGAATTTAAGAATCGATTTGTAGTGAGGGTGAGAGGTGGTGGTGGTAGGAGAAGGTGATGGTTGTAATGGATGACAATGAACGTGGTGGTGGGAACGAGCGGTGGTGGTGGTGGTGGCGACGGCAAGGGCGGCGATGGTGGTGGTAATGGTGGTGGCGGCGGCAACGATGACGGTGGTGATTGTGGTGGTGGTGGCGACAGTAATGACGACGGTGACGGTGGTGGTGGTGGGGATGGTGGTGGTGGGGATGGTGGTGGGGCGGTTTCAAACACCATTATTTTTTTTAACGCAGTCATGAAAAATAATTTCTAGAACTACTTTTAAAAAATTATTCTAAACACACCTTTACAGCCCTATTATTCTTATTAAATTTAAGGTGTTAATATTAGTCGTTAAATTAACTTTAAAGTAAAATTTAAAGCGATCTCAACTGCAAATAGCAAAAGACATTTTATTTATCTTTTGAGATTTAAATTGTAAGGTACTTTATTATATAGATGTGTGAGATTTGTTACTAGTGTGACGAGGATAGTCATATAGAAGGTATACATTTAGTAGTTTTATAATTTAAAATGTGTTATTTGTAAATTGTACTCTAAAAGATCTCTCAAATTTTAATTTGTATCCTCACAAATAATAAATCTTAATTTATACCCTCAAAGATATAAATTTATATTAATGTGTACATCAACTAACGGTTGTCAATTTGCTATCTAAAACTAGTTGAGTAGATTACACTTAGACTCCCTCAAATTTATCATTTAATCATTTGGACTCCCTCAAAGTTAAATATTATTTCTACGCCTCCTGACGTTTGTACACATGTAACATATAACCATTTGTTGTTGATATATATTAATATAACCGTTAAAAAATATGAATTCTATACTTTAAAGTTTAAATTAAACTTACCATTTGAATATCTAATATAGTACAAATATTTATATAATATTTTTTAATATCTAATGCAATACATTATTTGACCAAAATTAGTTAGATGTCCAATTGGAGAATATGTTTAGTCATATTTAGATTCTTAAGGGATGTAAGTGTAATATTTTAAATGTGAGGGGTTTAAGTAATTAAGTGACAAATATGAGAGAATTTAGGTTTAATTTATTCATTTAATTTTAGACGACAAACTGATTACTATTAAGTTCATGTGAACATTGCTATATATATATATTATATTTTTTAAGGTATAAATTGAAAATTTTCATCATTGATGATGCCAATTTAAAATTTAATGGATGGAAATGGGTGGGTCGGAAAGAGAGACCGCCAGAAGAAGGGGGGGGGGGGGGGGGGGGTATTTGTGTTGAGGTGAGTGGGTTGTGTGTGTGGGGGTGTAGCCAACCAAGAGTGTTTGTGGCTACGGTAACGAGACTCCATGTATATAACTTCGCTTCGTTTGAGTTCATAACGTTCTTCGGTTCAGACCACAAGGGAAGGAAGAGTGAGCTTAATGAATTCACTGCTACTACCCTCCACGCCTCTCTCAACCACCTCACCACCGCCACCACCTTCTAAACTTACCGTCCACACTCTCTCCTCCAGAACCTACATTCCCACCCATATATACACCCACCCATCAGCTCTCCTCCTCGAACTCTGCACTTCCCTCAAAGAACTCCACCAATTCCTCCCTCCCATCATCAAGAACGGACTCTACAATGAGCACCTTTTCCAGACCAAGCTTGTCAGCTTGTTCTGCAAATTCGGTAGCCTAAACGAAGCCGCCCGGGTTTTTGAACCAATTGAGGACAAAGTTGACGCTCTTTATCACACAATGCTTAAAGGGTATGCTCAGAACTGTCTGTTGAATGATGCTTTGTCCTTCTTTTGTCGGTTGAAGTGTGATTATGTGAGGCCTGTGGTTTATAATTTTACGTATTTGTTGAAAGTTTGTGGTGACAATGGAGACCTTAGGAGGGGTAAGGAAATTCATGGCCAGTTGATTGTGAGTGGATTTTCGTCAAATGTGTTTGCTATGGCCAGTGTTATGAATTTGTATGCCAAATGTAGGCTGGTTGATGAAGCGTGCAAGATGTTTGATAGAATGCCCGAAAGGGATTTAGTTTGTTGGAATACTGTAATTGCCGGCTATGCACAAAATGGGTTGGCCAAGAGAGCGTTGGAATTGGTTGTGCGAATGCAAGAGGAGGGTCATAGGCCTGAAATGGTTACCCTTGTCTCCATTTTGCCTGCGTGTGCTAATATTGGAAATTTAAGGATTGGAAAATCTATTCATGGATATGTTATACGAGCTGAATTTGAATCCTTTGTCAACATTGCAACTGCCTTGGTTGATATGTATTCAAAATGTGGATCAGTGGTTACTGCTCGACTGATTTTTGAGGGGATGAGTGAGAGGAATGTAGTCTCCTGGAATTCAATGATTGATGGATATGCTCAAAGTGGAGATTCTGAGGAAGCATTGATACTTTTCCAGAACATGTTGGATGAAGGATTAACACCAACCAATGTTTCTGTAATGGGAGTTCTGCATGCCTGCGCTGATTTGGGTGATATTTCACAAGGACAATTTATTCACAACTTAATTGATCAATTAGGACTTGGTTCGGATGTTTCAGTAATAAACTCTATGATTTCCATGTATAGTAAGTGTAGAAGAGTTGATATTGCTGCTAAATTATTTGAAAACTTACAAGGTAAAACCATCGTCTCGTGGAATGCTATGATTTTAGGGTATGCACAAAATGGGCATGTAGCTGAGGCCCTAAATCATTTTTGCAAAATGCAACTGCAAAGTATCAGACCTGATTCATTTACATTGGTGAGCGTAATTCCTGCTGTTGCCGAGTTGTCAGTATTACGTCAAGCGAAGTGGATTCATGGTCTTGTTACAAGAAATTGTTTTGACAAGAATGTTTTTGTGATGACTGCTCTTGTGGACATGTATGCAAAATGTGGAGCTGTTCACACTGCAAGAAAGCTATTTGACATAATGGATGTGAGGCATGTGACAACGTGGAATGCTATGATAGATGGATATGGAACACATGGGCTCGGACAAGATGCAGTAGCATTGTTTAGTGAAATGCAGAAGAGGGTAATAAAACCAAACGATATAACATTTCTATGTATTATATCAGCCTGCAGCCACTCAGGCTTTGTAGAAGAGGGGCGCCGTTATTTCAACATCATGAAGGAAGATTATGGCTTAGAGCCTTCGATGGATCACTATGGAGCCATGGTTGACCTACTTGGTCGAGCTGGCCGCCTCAATGAGGCTTGGCATTTCATTCAAAACATGCCTATTGAGCCGGGAATTAATGTTTTTGGTGCCATGTTGGGTTCTTGCAAGATTCACAAAAATGTTGATTTGGGAGAGAAGGCTGCAAACAAACTGTTTGAGTTAGACCCTGAGGAAGGTGGGTATCATGTATTGCTCGCTAATATATATGCCAAGGCTTCAATGTGGGATAAAGTAGCAAAAGTCAGAACTACAATGCAGAAGGAAGGGCTTCAAAAAACCCCAGGGTGCAGTTTAGTGGATTTGAGAAATGAGGTTCACACTTTTTATTCTGGAAGCACAGGCCATCCCCAATCCACAAATATCTATGCTTACCTTGAGACACTGATTGATGAGATTAAAGCTGCTGGTTATGTCCCTGATACTAATTCAATTCATGATGTGGAAGATGATGTCCAGGAGCAATTGCTCAATAGCCATAGTGAGAAGCTGGCTATTGCCTTTGGACTTTTAAATACCAGCCCTGGTACAACTATTCACATTAGGAAGAATCTTCGGGTTTGTGGTGATTGTCATAATGCGACAAAGTACATTTCACTTGTCACCAAAAGGGAAATCATAGTGCGAGATATGCACCGGTTCCACCATTTTAAGAATGGGACCTGCTCTTGTAGAGATTATTGGTGAATGACTTTGTGGAGTCAATACTTGTAAATCTTCGTGGGACGGGACCTTGATGGGAAGATGAGGATTCTGCCAAAAATTACAGTGATTTTTTTGGGATAGAAACTGGCAGGAATCACACCATCATGGTGCTGACTATCCCAACTTGCTCAAAATTTGATAAGAGTAACCAGAAGACATGGAAAGCCTCCTCAAAATACTGTGCCAAGTAACATTGTTGAGGTACTTTCTCACCTTTGTCTAACTCTCATACGAGAATAATTATATTATTTGCCCTTTTTGGTCACTTTCTTCACCAGCTATACCAATTTTTTTTCATATTCTTTATGCTGTTAAGAACAGTTATTGTACCGATATTGATGTTTCAAAAAACCAAATTGAAGGTTATTTAATGTATTGGAGCAGCTGCGAGAGTATATCTCTTCCAATGTACTTTCTAGTATAAATTGCATCAATGGAAACAGCAGCAGTTATAGGCAGAATGCAATGGGGGGAACTGCACCAATCTCCTTGAGCTTCAACTTCATTAACTTTTGTCTTTGTCAAGTCTGCTTTAATTCACATCAAGGTTATACAGCAAATGTTTGTTGATATTGGTGGGTATTTTCCAATTCACTGTAAAGTTTCAGCATGCCACCAAGCCTGACTGACCGTCCCCAAGCTCAGGTGTTACTCTGCCGCTTGCGAAAATGGGACTTACGATTTTTTGATCGTTTTCAGCTGTCATTTCAGGAAGTTAAAATCAAATAAAAGGGTTGTGCCCCATTTACCATGACTAATATCCTCCATTATGTAGCCAAAAAAATTCTTAAAAAAAATAGCAATAGAAATGAATCGAGTCTAATCTCTAATGTCACTTTGCCCATTCAGGATTTTAAAAGTTTTTGCCCTTAAAAGATTAAGAAAGTTTCACACTGCTCCTTTAATTATTTAAAACGCGATTGCATTTGATGTTCCATTGATGTAAGACAGTCATGTGTCACATAATTGACATGAGACAGTTCATTCTTTGTAGAGCAAAGTTCAAAGGAAAGTCTGCGGTACCAACAAAAAAAATATATATATCAAAGTGAAGGTTACAATTTTTTATGGTAAAATTGTACTTTTAAAATAAAAAATTACAATTGTTCAAGGAAAGACTATAATCAGTCACACATGATCGATCGTGGGCTTCTTTCAGTTGTAATTTTTTCCTTATGAGTTGTAACTTAACTTTAAAAGTTATAATTTTCGGTATCAATCTTAACTTTTCATGATCGATCGTATTTTTTACAAATTATAATTTACATCTAAAAAAAGTTGTAACTGTACCGCGGTGGTATTCCCAAGTTCAAATAGGGCAGAGTTTTAGGCGAAAAACTATCAGTATTTTATCTTCACAGTTGGAAAACCCAGTATTCGACCAGCTAAAGTCAAATGCAGAAAGATTTGAGAGGAGAAACTTGGATTCTGGAAAGTAGACAGAAATTATAAATCTACTGCCAATAGTCCTCATCACAATTAGGCAAAAGATCCAACAATTTTCCTATACAGTGCCTGCTTCCGAGCAATATGCGAAGATCAGCTCTAAGCATCCACCAACATGAGAACTGGAAGAATGCTGAGTATCTATCAAACAAGTTTTTGCACAGCAACTTGAACTCTACTGAAAAAGTCTGCAAAATCCAATGCTAGGAGGCCTTGCAGTCACTTCCACGGTTCCACCACCAAAATTGGCGAAACAAATATATTTTCCTCATTCTGGTGTTGTATGCCATGAAGGCTCTGGCTTTGACGGGGTCAGCATTCAAATACTCAAAAGCATACATCTGCCTAGCCTCTTCTAAGCCATCAATTTCCATGACAGACTGCAGAAGTGCGGGGGTGTCAATTGTGTTCTTGCTTTGCTCAATTGCATCAGCCAGGTGCCGAATGCTTGATGCCACAGTCAAAATTGCATCCTTAAGAACCTCTGAGCCTCGAGAACGTTTGGGAAATTGTCTGAGAGGCTGGGCTAAAGGCACCTCTTGACTGCCAGCTGGCATCTGAGTATACTCTGGCTGTCCGTTAGATGACTCTGTCTCTGTTCCATCTGTGTCACTCGGGTCTTGTGAACTTGGTGAGGGAAATGAAGCAGAATCTTCTTCATATTTCTTAATTTCAGTTGCCCGGTTACCATTCATGTTTCCAGTCATCCTAGCCCAATGACTAGGGACTTGGTAATTTCCACAGACAATTTTCAATTCATCGTACATCTCTATTTGCTTTCCTCGAAATCCCCTCGCATCAGGGTGTGCCTATTTAACATATAGGATGATCACCATTACCTACTGGGCAAACAAGAGACTTGTGCATTTACATAGGAAAAATAAAAAAGAAAGGGTAATAAATCAACTTACAGCAATGTATCTCTTCCAAAGATCCTCATTGTGACACTCGATCATATTTGTATTTGGATTCCAGGTGAACCCATCTTGACTTAGCATATCTCTTGTTATCTTATACCTTTTCTTTATTGTCTTGAGACGATTAACAACCTTCTGATTATTTAAAGATAAATTGAAACGAGTGTTCACAGCAACACAAGCAGCAGTATACGCATTTTCATTGAAGCATTTATCAATCTTATTCCCATTTCTAGCCTGGATAGCAAGGGCTTCAATCAGACACTTGTCCATTGCTTGAGACCATACCACGTTTTTTCCTTTATGCTTCATCTCCTTTCTTTGACTTTGCAAGTCATATTGATCCATTCCTAATTTCATTGAAAAATCTGTTAACCTTATCCAAACTAGAAACATAGAAATCAATATAAATCACAGCTATCTATTTATTGTATGAGAAGGAATCATCATAAAAATTACAGAGACAGCATCATTATCATAGTAGCAGCAAAGAAATGTAAATTGGTATCAGCGCCCCTTCACTTTCTTTGCTTGAAGAAATATGTGAAGCATTAAGGCCTTCCCACCATGCAAAATAAAACTGCGCCAGACCAAGATAGAAGCAAATTGAAAACATGCCTCAACTTCCTTCAAAATGGGGAAGCAAATGCAGAAAAACGCGACAAAACCCTTTTTCTTTATTTTTCAGTAGACTTGAAAGTGCTCTGAGTGTAATGCCAAAGGCACCGAGATACTTGTTGATTGCTAAAATAAGCAGCATTTTTTGTGGGTAGGTAACATTCATATAGTGCACAAAGGAAGTTCTGTATCCAGAGAATTTCAAAGTAAAAAATCGTTCACCAAGTGGAGTGAAAATGTATATCCATGTATTGGACTGGTAACGAATCCAGGCCTAGCATAACAAAAAGCAAAAGAAATATAGATGCAATAAGTGTTTTATCTCGATTTCTAAGAAAAATTTTCTGGGAAAATGCATAAAAAAGAGAACTTTGAGTTCTCAACGAAATCTCAGAATTTAGGCAACAAAACCATTATCAATAAAATCACATGTGAGAGAAAGCAAAGGAGAGAAACCCCCATCCAAAAGTTTCTTAGTCAACTGCATACTGCTGGATCTTAATAGGGATGAAAAATATAAGCTAGGAAAGCTTGTTCATAGCCCTTTGAAAGATAAGAAAGTCAAATAAAAGGAAATGGATGCAGAATAAATATATCAACCTTGTCCATTGACCCATTTTCATCTATATCAGAACAAATATATATTGCACAGTTGGTGTAATTGCCATCAATACTTTGATAATTCTATACAGGATACCCCTAATAATCCAAGCCACAACTCACAAGATATGCACCCCTGGACAGGTTCTCATTAGTTTTTGATATCGTCCACACCTCACTATAACAATATATTGTAGAACAATGAGTAAGTGGAATTATCTGTTCACATATGTCCTACGACCTCCCCCATCACAGAAGGTTTTTACTCCAAAACATTGTCTTGTGCAATCAGAAAATTGGAATAACAGATGGTAGGGGATTCCAAAATGTTATGGCCATTTAAAAATTCCGTGTCCTCAAGAGTATCTCGTTGGTCCTGCCTAAAACATTTAGTTCCATCATCTTTCTTAGTATATGTAAAATTCTGCAATCCCACCAAGAATTAAAAATTCCGTGTCCTCAAAGTATCTCGTTTGTCCTACCTAAAACATGTAGTTCCATCACCTTTCTTAGTATATGTAAAATTCTGCAATCCCACCAAGAATGAAAACATACCAAACCAGGGACTTTAGATGCTTTCAACTGAAAATATACTTTGAGTGGAAGCAGACCTGTGGAACTGCAAACTGTTTGTGCAAGGCTAAAGTTTTTTTTGATAGGAAATAGAAATGTCATTAATAATATAAAACAAAAAATACAAAAGAAATTCCATGGTGGACCAGTAGTCCAGACCAAAGATAGAACAAAAAAACAAAAAACATGTAAGCAAAAAAAACAAAACTACATTCCAAATGAGGCTCTCCAACTAGAGGCAATGCAAAAAAGAAGTATATTCTTAAATTCCTTCGACACGGAAGCCCAAAAGAGGTTAAGAAATGAATCCGCTCCCAAAGACCGTCAATCATATCACTCTTATCCTAAAAAATGAGCGCATTCCTTTCCTTTCAAATTACCCAAACAGTAGCAAAAAAAAAACACAAGCCCCAAGAGTCCTTCACCTTTATGTCCCCCTCCCATAACGTCCAAGCATATCATGGATCTCATATTTCTCGGCACCACCCAACAAAGGCCAATATAATTAAACAACTATTCCATATTGCAATAGGACATTATAAAAAAAGATGATCCACACTTTCACTATCTCCATTATACATCAGACACCATTGTGGTTGAAGATAAACCGACGATCTCCTTCTTTGAAACACATCATAAGTGTTAATTTTATCATGTGCAATTATCCACACACATATTTGCACAATTAAAGGCACTCTAACTTCCCAAATCACTTTCGATGGAAGAAATAATGGAATAGAAGAATCATCAATTAAAAACTCAAAAAAGAATTTCCATAAGAAAGCACCATTAGACTCAAGAGACAAACATTTTTTATACAAACTATCATGGAATAATGAGACATTACTAAGCAAATACAGAAGCTCCACCAGCTCTAAACATTCCCCGTCATTTAAATTCTTACGAAAACCAAAATTCTATAATAAAAGATTTCAATAGAAATGAATAAAAGAAACAACCTTTTGTTCATGAAAATTGGAATTTTGATAAAGTCGAGGAAAGAGACTTGAAAACGAAGACTCTTCAACCCAAATATCCTCCCAAAAAGGAACCTTAAATTCATTACCCACACGAAACTTAATCCATGCAAAAAATATAGAGGTAACCCCTGATAAATAAACTTCCATGAATTTTAAAAACTACCTCTTTCTACCCATTAGTATGCCACTCATTAGCGTGTAACCCATATTTACTGTTAATAACAGTACACCACAATGAATCTTGTTCCAAAGGGGATCTCCAAAGTCATTTTCCAACCAAAACAACATTTCTTTTCAGCAAATTTTCAACCAAAAGGCCTCCTTATCTAGAAACCACCTCCCAAGATATTGAATGATCGTTTTTGCCCTCTCCACTCCCTTCCCATGAAAAATCCCTCAACATCCCTTCAATTATTTAAGCTACCAACACAGGCATCTTAAAAAGAGACAAAATAAATAGGAATGCTAGCTAGCACAAACTGAACTGATGTTAACTTATCTCCCCTAGAAATAAAAGTTTTCGTCCACCCATCTAATCTCTTCCCAACTTTTTTCATAATTGGTCCCAAAAAGACCTAGACATCGAATTTCCCCCCTTAAGGAAGCCCTAAATACTTTAAAGGTCATCCTCCCACAGAGCATACCATCTCAAGAGCCAACCTATCAATCTTATCCTAACTAGTGTTAATGCCCACAATGGGGCGCTTGTTTGTGCAAGGATAAAGTGAGCATCAACTATTGCAATATTAATCAATGCCATTCTAGTGTGTGTCCTATTCTCCAATCGGAATACTTATGTCAAGCCTAACTAGTTTCCTTTGTAGTTCATTATACAAAATTACAAGAGAATTTATTGAGTGGAATACATTAATTGTTTCATTTCTCTTTGTTTTGAGGTTTGAGAAAAAGTTTTGATGAAGTGAAAATCTGCAATGGAATTAGCCCAAGTCGTCCACAACATAACGAGAATAAGGCTGCATTCAATATAATAAAAGTTCAATAACCATATTTGCAAGACAAAGGTTTGCTACAGCCGAAACTTTGTAGGGCCAGGGTTGAAGTCATTCATATTAATGTTTCACTGGATGCCTCACACTATTGAAATCCTAAGGAAACTAACCTCAATATTACAGAAGCACACCAGTATTGAACAACTTAATTTGGACATCCCATAGATCTGAAACCAAAACTAAATCTAATTTAAACACACACGTATGAAGTTTCACTTTACTGCAAACACCATTGCATTTTTACAAGCCCATAATGGATTTAAATTGCATTGGTAGACGCCTCAAGTCAAAGCCACTCCATACTATATTCTACCAGTCATATAGTTGTATACCAAGTACATCCTGTCTTTTAAGTTTTCCAAAGATATAACGCTTCAGTCATTATCTCAAAAAATAGTTGACCATTCAAGGTTTTCAAACTTAATCTAACAGGTGACTTATAGCCATTGTCCAGTCCAAATACCAAATACACTAGGAATCTGATGAATTGTTATATCATTAAGATCAAAAACAAAATAACATTTAGTACATGCAATAACACATGCATATAACACAAAGAACAATTCCTAAAATAATTTATCCATAACAATACTAAACCTTAGGAATCACAGCATAGAATATCAGAATGATTTTAGATCTAAACGGTGTTGTTCTTTTCACTTACCCATATTAGAAAAAATAGGCGAGGCTTGTAGGATGCTTTTAGTGTAAATAATTGTTAACGATGTGGAAATAACAGAAAGTTTACTATATAACCCACCACATAGCCTGTCAAAAGTTAAACAATGAGGTGAACACCATAGTAATTAACTGGTTGATCACCAATGCTATCACGATTCTCCTACACCACAACCAGTTGACCACCAAATATAACCAACCCAATAGAATTAAGTTAGATTGTTTTCAACTCCATACTATCAAAATAGACTCTAGTTCATGTTTTTATGTGTAATTGACGTCAGATGATTCATATCAGCCAATTTTGACTTACTTATCATTTGAAGGCAAAAACGCATTCTCCCATGGAGGCATTGCATTAGAAGCAACTGAGTCTACAACATAGTAAATGGTAAAAAAACTCAACCAATCACAGTTCTTGCTTGACATAACATAGCTCAGGCAATGTTCTGGGAGACAAGGTTAATGTATTAAAATCAATAGATGTATTGCTCCAAATGCTAGAGAAAACACGCTAGACAATATTGAGATGTCCAAACACTCCCTTCAAAATAGGCCAACACACACACACACACATTGAGCATTCAAACTCTTAGGAGGACATGGGAAGTCCCCCATTTTGCCATGCTCAGCTCAACAACTATAAATATATTAAAAGCAGCAATAATATCTCTGTGTGCCTCGATAAGCTTCTGTGTGTGTGTGTGTGTGAGAGAGAGAGAGAGAGAGAGAGAGAGAAGGGGGGGGGGCGTATGCCCCAAAACATCAATTTTAAGAAATACCCAATACCCACTCACACACATACATATCTATATCTATGTGTGTGTGTGTGTGTGTATATATATATATATATATATATATATATATATATAGAGAGAGAGAGAGAGAGAGAGAAATGGTGGAGATACCAGCGGCAAATGAGTACGGGGAATCCGAT